CACCTCTCCCACCTCTCCCCAATCTCCCCACATCTCCCCACATCTCCCCGCATCTCCCGGCATCTCCCGGCATCTCCCCACATCTCCCGGCATCTCCCGCAGGTGCGACGACATGCAGCGCCTCCCCCTCCTCCTCCTGCTCTCGCTCTTCCCGCCCCTCCCCTTCATCCTGGTCCCCCCCGCCGCCTACGCCCTCCACCACTCCCTCTCCCGCGCGCACGCTCGCTCGCTGCTGGCCAAGCTGCCCGCCGCCGTCCGCGAGCGCGCCCTCTGGGTCCTCGGCGAGGAAGGCGAAAAAAAAAGCAGTCAGTAGCCATCTACGCTCGCGCGACTGCGGCTGCTAGTTTGTTCGCTGCTCTCGTGCTGCTCTCGCCATTGTGGCTGGCACTGTGATCACCTCGGAGTCCCATCTCCCCACATCTCCCCACATCTCCCCACCTCTCCCCACCTCTCCCCACCTCTCCCCGCATCTCCCCACCTCTCCCCACCTCTCCCCACACCTCCCCACACCTCCCCACACCTCCCCACATCTCCCCACATCTCCCAACACCTCCCCACACCTCCCCACCTCTCCCCGCATCTCCCCGCATCTCCCCACCTCTCGCCGGAGTCCCCTCGCCCACTCTCTCTATGGGAGCAGCCCACCACACGAAGTAGTCACGCTTAGTTCTCATGGCTCAAGCGGTCACCGGGCCGCAGGCTGTGAATGGTACATTATTAATTCCTGTTATGAAGTAGTCTGCCTCAGGCCGTTCTCGACCTCTTTCCTGTCCTCTGCCTCGGTAGGCACCCACACGACGCTCGCCTTCGCCGCCATCTCCGACCTGATGGTCGGGCTGACCGCGCCCTTCCTCGCCGTGTCGCACGGGCTGCGCATCGTGCCGCCCCTCCTCCTCCACCTCAAGTACGTCGCCAAGAGCCACACCACCTCGTGGTACATGCAGACCGCCGTCGACACCGTCCGGCTCAAGCTCGACTCGCTCTTCCACCACCGCCGCTGCCCCGCCCCCGTCTCGGCGGCGTACGTGCGCTGCGCGGGGCTGGCCGCGTCGGCCGCCCGCCTCCTCGCCGCCTGAGGCGCGTGTGTAGGCAGGCGCCGCGAGTGGCACCTGGAAGGGCGGCGGCATCGGCCTGTGCAGCAGCTCGGGCAGCGGCACCTCGCTCTTGGCCTGGCTGGTGGAGAGCAGGGTGAGCGTCAGCTCGCCGTTCGTGACACAGCGCCGGCGCCGGTAGAGCGTGGCGTGCTCGCCCCCCTCCGACTGCAGTGGTGGTCCGTGGTAAAAAGTATATTCAAGCATCCTAGCTCGAGGCCAAGTACACCTCCGCCGCCTTCCGCTCCGCCTCCACGCCGCTCATCCTCTTCCTCGTCACATCTGCGAAGCGCGGCGGGCGGCAGGGCCTGCTCTCACGCCGCAGCACCGTGTCCAGCAGTTGGCCAGTTGCGCACGCTCCTCCGGTCTCGATTCTCCGAGTACACACTGTCTCATCGAGATTGCTCACCTGGCGGTGCTTACGCGTTACGGCTACCAATGGCGGGCTCCCCACTCGACCCCACCGAATCGCGCGGCTCCACTCGCGTCTCTGCTCCGACTCGAGCGGGGTGCCGGCCGGGTGGCCGCCCCGCGTCTCGCGTGCTGGTTTTATTATACCTAATGGCGCGCACCTTTCGAGCGCGAGATATTGTAGATGTATACACGTATATCGCGCGCTCCCCCCTTCCCGCGCGGCCCAAGGCAGATTCCGTGTGTGTCTCGCGCCTTGCGGGGGGGGAGCGGAAAGGAGGAACCTCTTCCCAAGAGCACCACTCTTGGAGCGCCGCCACTACGACCACCCAGAGCGCTGCAAGCAGCGCCGGGCAATGACGGCTTACCATTCCGCAAAAGCACCCGCCCGCGAGCTCCGTTTCGCGAACACCCGAACACGGAACACGCCCACGCTCTGGTCTGTCTCGTGTCTGCCTCTCCACCCACATATCCCGCCGCCCTCCACTCCCACCTAGTCCCACCGTGTTGATGGTTCGATCCTCCCCAGAGTCGAACTGGCAGCCACTCGCACCGAGGAGGCGAGGTGTGGCTACGGCGTCGGCGACTCACTCCCCAATGGGTTGAGCTGCTCAACAGTTGACTGCACCGCAGTCCTTGCCCTTCATGTACTACTCGTCTGCTTCATCCTCCCGAAACGCAGCAGTAGCCATCCTCGCATCTCGCTGGTCCCCTGACACTGCCTGCTTCGAGCGCCTCTTCCCACATCGATTTTTGCTCACCTTTTCCTTCCCCATTCCGTGTGGCCTAGCTCTCCCCAGCCTCTCGTCTCGCAAGTCCACCGTCGTCCAACCCATGAACCTGTCGATCTCCTCGTCGCCCACGCCCTCGTTCCCCATGTACTCCAGCATAAGCTCGTCGTCCTCCTCAGCATAGCTCCCTCCTCCCACCATGTCGCCTCTCGACTCCGTTCCATCGATCCCACTCCGCCCACTGCTCCCCGCTGCCCCGCTATCGCCTCCCCTCTCCACTTCCATCTGAACTTCCTCTCTCTCTCTCTCTCTCTCTCTCTCTCTCTCAGGGCGCGAGCCTTAGCTAAGATACGCGCCGACACGTGTCGGTGGTCATTTTTGACCCACTTTCCGGGTTTGCCCCAGTTGATAGCGCGCCCCGCCTTCAGCTCACTGCTCCCCGGCGGCCTCTGCTCGAGCTAGATCGAGCTGTCTTGAAAGAGCTTCTTTGTGGCACCCCACCCAGCAATCAGCCACAGCAACAGCAACTAGCCCGCATGGCGTCGGACACACCGTCCAGCGCCGCTGCGTCCGCATCCCACGCCCTCAAGCTCGCCTGCCTCCTGGCCGTGCCGTGTGCCGCTCTGTCGCACTACATTGGCCGGCCGTGGCGCTGGTTCTCCCTCCACCCACTGCTCATGACGATGGCTTTCATTGCGGCGGCCGGCAGCGGCATCACCGTCAAGCGCATGGGCGGCCGAACCAACACGCTGATGCACGGCTACGCGATGCTCAGCGCGTTCGCGCTTGCTCTGGCCGGCTGGTACGTCATCTACCAGCAAAAGGCGAAGGCCACGGCCGAGCCCCTGCCGCTGCCTGGCTCCCGTGTGATGCCGTTGTCTTTGGCCGCGTGTCAGGTGATGCTCGGTAAGCCGCACAACACGTCGTGGCACTCGCTGCAAGGGCTGCTCGCGATCGGCGGGTATGCGCTCGGAGCGGCGGCGGGCCTGTTTGCACTGCATCCCGACTTCGGTCAATACCGCTCGGGCAAAGGGGTCCGGCTGGCGCACAAGCTGGCCTCGCGTGCCGCCTCGCTGGCCGCGCTGATAGCCATCGGCACTGGCTACTTCAAACTCGCCGACGCCTACTCGACCCCTCTTCTCGCCGCCGCCCTCGTGGCCTTCGCCGTGTCTTGCGCATTCTTCGAAGCGCCGACGAAGAGGCCCCAGCCGGCGCCTCGGCTGCCCGAGACGACCCCGTTGCAAGCGATAGGCTCAGAGTAGCTAGTAAGAGACACGGTTCGCGCGCTGACGGAAGTGGGTCTTGAAGTGCCTCTTTGCCACTTTAGTTCTGCAGAGCCACACATGCACATGTGCATGTGCATGTGCATGTGTGCACGACGCTGTTGGTACACACAGCTGTCGATCTCCTCGATCTTTTTCTCCTAGAGATGATTCTACCTATCTCTTAGGTGGCGAAGATCCCAGGGCGGATCTTCCAGCCCCTTTCGGCACCGCAGCGCGGTCCTACGGCCGCTGGTGGCCGCCCCGATGGCCCAGCTGGCCTAGCCGGGTCGGCTGCATGTCCGGGCTGGCCGTGGGGGCCATTGTTGGGTCATTGTGTCTCGTTTGAAACGGGTTTTCGGCTGACGGCAGAAGATCCTCTGGAGGATCTTCTGCCGGGAACCAATGTCAGAGCTCTGAACGGCTGATCTGAGAGCCCCCCAGCACAGTAGGGATTGATTATGATCAGATCCATCACTCACTGGCCGGGGTTGAGCTATTCTAGACGACAAGCCGCGTGCAGAGTGCCTGAAGTTCAGCCCCGCACGACGCACAGACGTGCCGGCTAGTGGGCTGCTAGCGCTCTGCGGGCAGCAAATGTCGCGCTTCTGGGCCACCAAGCCGGTAAGATGACCTAACCCGGTCAGTCTGAGGCTGCGGCCATGATGGTTGTACTCCTCCTGGTGTCGGTGGACCACTTTTTCGGCTTGAGCTAGCGACGAGAATGATCAGCGCGAGGTGGACTCACGAGGGAGGCCACGGGTCGCCATGTTGGGCACACAGGTGCCACCCAGGCAGAAGTATTGACCAGACAATGAATACGTACAATACCCTCACAAAGAGAGCGATGCCTTCCCACCTGCTGACCGCTTCAGCGGTGGTCGCCACCAATGCAACGACGGCACTCGCCGGCCACGTTGCTGGCCAGCACCAACAATTCTGGGCGCCGCTCGGCCCGAGGCATTGCTAGGCCTGCTCAGGTCGTGCCACATGAGCACTGAATGGCCTCGTAGGGGGCTCATGGGGCCGGTGACGGCGCCCTGCGCCGAAGATCCCAGGGCGGATCTTCTGGCCGCCACTTAAGAGATAGATGATTCGTCCTCCCACCAAAAACGGAGCTCATCGAGCGCACACCCGGCCCTGAGACCCGAAGGGAGACGCTGCCGCGCGCGGGGGCCGCCGATGCATCCGCCATCGCGTTGAGAAGTCGCCCACAACGAGAGGAGAAACTCTCTCACACACACCGAGGTGGCGCGCCGATTTCCTCATCTAAGGATGCCATGGATGGGGAGGGGTGAGAATCTGCTCACATGCATCCTGGACTGTGGGCTCCAGGTGATGCTTGACGTTATGCACGATGCCAAGGTGCACCAGGTGACTTTCTCTAGATAACATTCAGCCCTTACCCGATTTGGATGGGAATAGATCTAGCCGGGCGCATTCCGGCCACACGCGCTCAACCCTTTGGTTGCTTCCGGCGCTTGCGTGACGCCTGTCTGCCCGCCCCCTCAGGACCAGCGTATGGCCAAGGAGGAGGAGGTGAAGGCGACTTTCGCCAGCATGGCGGCTTTGAACGAGCGGGGCGACTACGCTGGCGCGTCTGGACTGATGTCGACGTACGCCGTGCTGGCCAACGAGGTGAAGGAGCTCAAGGACAAGGAGACCTTGGCAAAGGAGCGGATCCTCACCGGGCCGGACCCGCTGACGCAGACGTGCCGAGGGGAGCCCGCACGCCACGACTCGTAGCGTTGCACGTGGCGCTCCGCATACTTAACGTCCTCGAGGACGAGGTTGTGCCCGGGACGCCGCCGATTCTCGACACTACGACAGTCACTCACTACAAGGGTGTGAAGCGAGCAATCGCGTCGCTGGGAGCGGAACGAGAGGAAGTCCAAAACTCCCTAGTCGGGGCTACCAGTGTAAAGTGTACTATGAGCGGTTAACGTAGTCAACCCGTGGAAAAGACTGAGGTGCCCCCGCGACGCCACAAGCTAACGGTGCCTCACTGTATGGGCCCCGTCTTCTGCAGCAGCTCTGTCTCCCCCTGCCCGGTGCTGGAGAAGCAAACGGCCGTGCAACCCCATCCAAAAGAAGCCCCCCCCCCCCCCCCC